GGGATTCCACGCAGGGCGACCCTAGCAGGGTTACTCGCGGGCAGCCTTCCGCCTTTAACATTCATTGGACCCCCCCAGACACCCCCCCCCAGACCCCTCCAGAACCCCACCCGCAGGCCCCCCTCCCCACTCGCCTCGCCTGCCATCCACACAGAACAAAAGTCCCCGTCCCGTGTAGCCTGTACAGCTCGTTGGGACAAGTGCTGGCAGCGAGGCGAGCCGCCCATGAAGGCCGCCTCGGTGCACGAGGAGGTGAAGTTGGAGTGGTGGGGGGGGGGTCAAGGAGGGTTGGTAGAGGGGGTAAAGGTGGGTTGGGGGGTCAAGGAGGATTGGGGGGGTCAAGGAGGGTTGGGGGTCAAGGAGGGTTGGGGAGGTCAAGGAGGATTGGGGGGGTCAAGGAGGGTTGGAGTGAGTCAAGGAGGGTTGGGGGGTCAAGGAGGGTTGGGGGGGTTAAGGAGGGTTGGGGGGTCGAGGTTTAGGGGGTCAAGGAGGGTTGGGGTCAAGGAGGGTTGGGGGTTCAAGGAGGTTTGGGGGTTCAAAGAAGGTTGGGGGTCAAGGAGGGTTGGGGGGGTCAAGGAGGGTTGGGGGGGTCAAGGAAGGTTGGGGGTCAATAAGGTTTGGGGGGGTCAAGGAGGGTTGGAGTTTCAAGGAAGGTTGGGGGTCAAAGAGGGTTGGGGGGGTCAAGGAGGGTTAGGGGGATCAAGGAGGGTTGGGGGATCAAGGAGGGTTGGGGGGGTCACCCACTCACACTCACTCACCCACTCTCACTCACCCACCTACTCACCCGCCTACTCACACTCACTCAACAACAACAACCGCGATTCGCCACTAAATGGCGGTGACGTCACCACGACGCTTGTGCCAGGCTATGTGCACCTTGAGACCACGTGAAGTGTCGCGAATGCCCGCTAGCAGGAGGTCACGGGGCAGACCCAGATGCCACAGGTGGACTGAATGATCGTGAGCAGAGGGTCAGGGACTCCGAAAGCACGAAGAACAACCCAGAGCCCAGGCCTACTGATGGTATCATAGGCCTTGACATGGTCAATACAGCAGAGATGTAGGTCTTGTTGGAATTCCCTACATCTCTGCTGTATCAGACAGACAGAAAATATGGCATCTGTGCAAGACTGCCCTTACCTGAAACCGCATTGGGGCTCCGCAAGCCTCTCCTCAGCGTGCCTAGCAAGGCGATGTTGAATAACCTCCGAGCAAAAGCTGCGGTAAGCCTCCTCTTTCTCCGACGTGGGACACCTCCTCTGTCAGCCAGGTTCTCTGGGGAGGTCTGGATCGTGTACCCAAAGCAGCCATTGCAGTTGCATGAGCCACAGTCCTAAACCTCGCCTATTTCCCATCTACATCAGGAGGAGTGGAGGACGATGCCAACCCCAGCCGCAAGCGATGATGAAATTTTCGCTTGCAACTTTCATCAGCTAACTGAGACCATGCCACTAAGGGTTTGAATGGGGTCCTGGGTGTACATCCACCACTGGAGTGGAAGAATTTCAGGCGCATTTTACAGATGACAAGTCGATGGTAAGTGGGCAGATCAGCTCCATGGAAGGTCCTGGTGTCAAGGACATTGGCCCACATCCGCTGTTCCATCACTATGTAGTCCAGCAGAAGGTTCCAGCAGATGTTCTTGCTTGGACCCGGCATGCATCCATGATATTGTGTGGATGCGCTGATGCTGGAACAGTGTGTTGGTAATTACAAGCCCATGGGCTGCACAAAAATCTAGCAGCCTCCTGCCGTTGTTATTGAGCTGATCTGTCCCATGCCTTACAATCACTCCAGACCAGGTGCCAGTATCATCACCAACTCGGGCATTAAAGCCTCCCAACAAGATAACTTTATCCTGAGAGGCCACTTTAGCTCGCACCTGTGACAGGAGGTCATAGAAGGCATCTGACTCATCGGCATTGCCTGCATCCCTCCCCGGATATTCGTCTTTGGTGGGGGCATAAGTAGCCGAATGGCTCACAGGGCTATACCTAATAAATTAACTTGAAATAAAAGCCACGACCACCACTCCTTGCCTTTGGTTGATGGGAAGGCGAGCCCAAAATAGCCTAGGGCTTACAGCTTTCCACACCTCACCGCCACGCTTCCATACCCCCTTCATTCTTTAGTTCAGAAGAAGAGCCACTCCCTGTTGTTTGGCAGTCTCCTGCCCCAAGAAGAGGACTGTCCACCCCGCATGGTGGCAGGAGCCAGAGCCGGTCCACCGGACCTTCTGAATATCACAGAGATCCAGGCAGCACCAATCTAGCTCCTGACAGAGCAGTGGCAGCCTCTCCTCCGCAGTGAGCGTTCGACCATTGCACGTGGCCACACGTAGTGGTTTTTTGTTGTTTCTGGAGGAGCCCCGAGGGTAAGGATTCAGTCTCCTGGCTCCACCAAATGGGGTTTGGCGAGGAGACATCATAGACGCCTGTCCCCCCGGGGCCTCCGGCAAGAGCTTATACATTTTTTGTTGTGGTTTTGTGGTAATTAATTAAAGATGCAGAGGTTACCAGCCCCTCGCACCCGTCCAGAGCTCCCATTTGGCTGCTGTTGTGGGTACAAACGCCATGAGGGGAAAGGCCAATCTAAATTGGCCCTCCCCACCACAGCGTTGCCGCTCGGTACCACGAGGAGGTAGGGGGTTGTTTTTGCCCACTCACACCCACCCACTCACACTCAACCACCCACCTACTATCACTCACCCACCTACTCACCCACCCACTCACCCACACTCGTGCACTCTCACTCACCCAGCCACCCGCCCACCCGCCCACTCACACTCGCATATCCACCCACTCACACCCACCCACCCACTCACACTCAACCACTCTCACTCACCCACCTGCTCACTCACACTCACCCACCCACTCACACTCGCCCACTCTCACTCACCCACCCACTCACCCACCCACTCAAACTCACCCACCCACTCACACTAACCCACCCACTCACCCACTCAAACTCACCCACCAACTCACCCACTCGCCCACTCTCACTCACCCACCCACGCACACTCAACCACCCACGCACACTCACCCACCCACCCACACACACCCACCCACCCACTCACACCCACCTATTCACACTCAACCATCCACCCACTCACACTCACTCACCCAGCCACCCACTCACCCACACTCACCCACCCACTCACACTCACCCACCCACCTACACTCACTTGCCCACTCACACTCACCCACCCACTCACACTCACTCACCCACTCACACTCACCCACCCACTCACACTCACCCACCCACTCACACTCACCCACCCACTCACCCACCCACTCAAACTCACCCACCCACTCACACTCACCCACCCACTCACCCACCCACTCAAACTCACCCACCAACTCACCCACTCGCCCACTCTCACTAACCCACCCACGCACACTCACCCACCCACTCACACTCGCCCACTCTAACTCACACACCCACTCACCCACCCACTCAAACTCACCCACCCACGCACACTCACCCACCCACTCACACTCGCCCACTCTCACTCACCCACCCACTCACCCACCCACTCTCACTCACCCACCCACTCAAACTCACCCACCCACTCACACTAACCCACCCACTCACCCACCCACTCATACTCAACCACCCACCCACTCACACCCACCCACCCACCCACACCCACCCATTCACACTCAACCACCCACCCACACTCAGCCACCCACCCACTCAACCACACTCACCCACCCACCCACTAACACTCACCCACCCACCCACACTCACCCACCCACTCACACTCAACCACCAACCCACTCACACTCACCCACCCACACTCAACCACCCACCCACTCACACTCAACCACCCACCCACTCACACTCACCCACTCGCCCACTCTCACTCACCCACCCACTCACCCACACCCACCCATTCACACTCAACCACCCACCCAATCACACTCACCCAGCCACCCACTCAGCCATCCACACTCACCCACCTACTCACACTCACCCACCCACACTCACTCACAGGTCACGTTCATGGCGCAATCACCCCTTCTTCTCTATTCACGTTCTATTCGAAAGAGCTATTGCCCAAAAGGTCACCTGTCACATGTTTCATCTGAGGGCTACACAGCGTGTGCACTGATGAGTGGGGACACCACACAGCACTGGGATCACCTCGCAGTGAGCGTTAGGCTTTGGAAAGCCCACCCACTTATACACCAACTCTCTCTCTCTCTCAGTGATCGGGCTGCCTGGCTGTCTGGTTACTTAGTTCAGCGTCACAATCTTTATTTATGCTGGAAGAATCCGATGAGCTATGAAGCACTTTTTCACAGACGTCCGGTAAGGGGCACGAGGTTAGAACGTTACAACAACAACACAATACACAAACACGTTGGAGTGCAAAGGTAAGAAAATCACTTCAGCTAAATATAAAAATGTAAGTATAACCTATTTTTTTTATCTTACCAGGACAAGACCACTGAGCTATTCGCTCGTTCAGAAGCGACCTGGCAATCACAAATGATAGCAATAATAATAATAGTTTCACTTTATATAGCAGTTTCATCCTGTCAATAGCATCCTGCAACGCTCGACGTTAATTACATATACAAGGGCCACATGCCATATACGCAGTTGGCTACGAAAACACACGTAGAATCTGTATTGATACTAGAGGAATCAGATGAGCTATTAAACTCTTTTTCACAGATGGACATACCGACAACTACGACTACCAAGCAAAAACTACAAAAAAATAATAAACAAATTAAGAAATGGGCCCCATAACAAAAATGCAGCACAAACAGCAACAACAAGAAAAAGTTATCACGACAAAATTGGCTCGACGAAGCGACCACCGTGACAGGAATGTAACGACGCTGCCATCATCATCATCATCCTCCGCAGCCCTTCATATCGCTGATGGAGCGCAAGGTCGCGGCCTTGAGAGGCAGGGAGGGAGGGATCCACAAACAGCAGCGGCGGGACATGGCGGTGATGCTCCCGGCCGCGGCGCCACGGTCACAGCAGGGGCACCTCGACCTACCGGTGAGGCACTTACATCAGCTGTGCGCATTTCTTGCATTCAGCTCTGGCCACCTCCCCCCTCCTCCACCCTCCCTCGTCACCCCTCCCTCCTCCTCCCTTCTCCCCCTGCCCCCTCCCTCATCTACCCATCCCTCCTCCCCACGCCCTCCTGGCAGGTCTGGTGTAGTGGGATAAAGTGTGGGAATTCCAACACTCTACAGAACGGGGAGAGAGCATACAGACTCCACACACTCACTCACACACTCACACTGTCTCACCCACTCTCACTCACACACTCACCCACGCACTCACGCAGGGAGACAACACACAGACTTCACACACACACTCTCACCCACTCACACTCTCACATTTACTCACACTCTCACTCACACTGACACACACACTCTCACTCACTCTCACTCACTCCCACTCTCATATTCACTCACACACTCACTCACACTCCCACTCACTCACACTGACACTCACACTCTCACTCACTCACACTCTCACATTCACTCACACTCTCACTCACACTGATACACACACTCACTCGCACTGGCTCACACTCTCATATTCACTCACACTTTCACGCTCACTCACACACACTGAAACACACACTGAGAAACTCTCACTCACACTCTCACATTCACTCACACTCTCACACTCACTCACACACACTGAAACATACACTGACACACTCTCACTCACACTCCACTCACATTGGCACACTCTCACATACTCACTGACTCTGACACACTCACTGACACTCTCACGTGCCCGGCATCACCACACTTTCTCAGCCACCCTCACGGTTGCTCCTCAGAGGTGGAATACAATATAGCAACTACCTCCACGGACATAAAGCGAGAGACCCAGGGCTCGAACCCAGGGTATCTACCGTGTCGGGTCAGTGTCTCTGACACGGCCATTATGAACCCCCTGAGTAATACTCAGAGAGACCCAGACCCAGGGCTCGAACCCAGGGTCTCCACCGTGTCGGGTCAGTGTCTCTGACACTACCATTATGAACCCCCTGAGTAATACTCAGAGAGACCCAGACCCAGGGCTCGAACCCAGGGTCTCCATCGTGTCGGGTCAGTGTCTCTGACACTACCATTATGAACCCCCTGAGTAATACTCAGAGAGACCCAGACCCAGGGCTCGAACCCAGGGTCTCCATCGTGTCGGGTCAGTGTCTCTGACACTACCATTATGAATTCCCTGAGTAATACTCAGAGAGACCCAGACCCAGAGATCGAATTCAGGATATCCACCGTGTCGGGTCAGTGTCTCTGACACGGCTATTATGAACCCACCGGGTTATACTCAGAGAGACCCAGAGCCAGGGCTCGAACCCAGGATATATCCACCGTGTCAGATCAATGTCTCTGACACGGCCATTATGAACGCCCTGAGTAATACTCAGAGAGACCCAGACCCAGGGCTCGAACCCAGGCTATCCACCGTGTCGGGTCAGTGTCTTTGACACGGCCATTATGAACCCCTCTGGGTCACCCGTGCACCTCCACTCTGATTGCGTCTCGCTCATTCATTGTCAGGGGGATGGAGGAAGCAGGGGGAGGGGGGGATTTGGGGGGAGGGGGCTGGTGGGGGGCTTGGTGAATGTTTCGTAACAAATGGGAGGACTTAATTATGAATTTGCTATCACTTTAAAGGGGCTGCGTGGCCATTCAAAAACACAAGAGACAAAGATGCCGCGTAGAGTCTTCAACAGGCTGCTGGGGCAAGTTCTGTTAGCGAGCTCACACAAGACCGGCACTGTGGCATACGAAAGAGTGGGTGATCAGCACCATGCTCGGCCGCCTTTGTCTCGCAATAGTGATGTTTACACATTGCACCAAGTATTCATTTGAGGCTGAGTCGACCTAGGGGAGGCCCAGGACCGGTTCAGATAATCGTCACTGGTGGTGGCCGTGAGCGGGAATCGAAGTCGGGTCGCCGGGCTCGTAGCACAGTGCACTAACCACTACCCTACCGCGCACGCACACACACACACAAAGACGGGCACGCGTACACACACAGGCAGACACAAAAATGACGCACACAGACGCACACACACATAAACACCCAGCCTCGCTCGCCCATAAATAGGAGCGCGGATCGCTTTGGCGCATTCGTAGTCTCCATCACCAGCGACGTGGCCGGTCCCCTTGGCTCCAGCCTCATCTTACACCCACAGAGGGAGTGGATACATCATATTGACCAGCTAGTGAGACGGACTCCTCACAACGCGTGGGGCTACAGGGACTCACAACACGTGGGTCACACGGACTCGTGTAGAGGCATCGACTGCCCAGGCACACAGGTGGAGGGTTAGGGTTAGGGCTCTACACGCACAGGTAGGATCACTCAGTCAGTGAGACACTCTCTCCCGGTCTAACACTCTCTCCCAGGCTCACACTCTCTCCCAGGCTCAGTCTAACACCCTCACACACACATTATCTCTGACACTCGTTCACACCTATTCATACACACTCTCTCGTTCACACGCACTCTCTTACCCACTCACACACAATCACACAGTCTCTCTCACATGCACTCTGTCAAACACTCACCCACACACACACTCGTTCACACACTCTCTCACCACTCACACTCTTAAAGCATCACACGCTCTCTCACACACACACTAAAAAACACACGCTCCCTCACACTCACTTTCTCACACACTCACACTCTCTCACGCATTCTCGCACACACACTGACACCCTCCCACACATAATATATACAAAATATATTGATAACCAAGAGAACTATTATCGATATACATTGCGAACTGCATATATACACACAGAATAGGCACACGAATAGATATTCTACTGGGCATACATAGTGAGAGTATAGACGGGCACAGAGAGTGACGCACAAAGCTACTGCACAGGAGAGTGGCCATGCGGCTAACACTCGCATTCACCACGCTCTCCTTGTGCCTCTGTATCGGGAGCGAACCCTCACACAAACCCGTGTCCAACCATGACCCTGGCGTAGTCCTGAGCGGTGGCGGCAATGTGGGCGGAAACACATCCGACCGAGTATCATGTGACCGGGCGCCACGTGGCCAGAGGGAGGAAGTAGAATCTGATGGGAAAAGTTTAAATGGCGACGAGCACATGAGAGAGAGGAGGCGGGGGGATCAACTCGTAGTGGTTGGGGAGTCGTCTCGCTACCGGTCAAGTGCGGTCGAGGTTGGCGCAGGGGCGTCGGAGCTGGTTAAGAGAGTGTCAGAAGTCGAACGGAAAATATCGCGGCTTGAAAATGTGGTCTCAGACTTAACGTTGGGAGCATTTGCGCTGGGCACAGAATTTCCGGGCATCGAAAGCGAAACGTACAGGTTTTGTGCAAAAGTGTTTCGTTTTGGCATGGAATCGGGCATTGGAAAGGAAAACTCAGCTTTTTTTAAGAACTTGTTAGTGCTTGGATTAGAGTCATTGGATCTTGGAATGGACAGTTCCGACGGTGAGAGAAAGGCAGTCAAATTGGTCATGAATTCAGGCTTTTCAACAGAGCAGCTGAATCATCGCATGGAAGCTTTCAAGTTTGCATCAAAACTATCAAATTTAGGGATAGAGAAGTCTACCTTTGACTCAAAAGAATTCCACTTTGGCACCGAATCAAATTTCGGACCAGAGTCCAATTTTCAGAAGCAGGCATTCGAGTCTGGAACAGAGCCGTCAGATTATAGAGCTAGATCAATTGATTTCGGAACAGAGTCGTTGGATCTCGGAGCCGAAGTCTTTGAGCTGGGTGCAGATGCATTGGACTTTGGAGCTTGGGCCCTGCGTCTAGGGGCTGGGGCACTCGTCCACGCAGCGTTGAGCGTCGTGTCCGAGAGCGAGGCCTTTGGCAGCCTGAGAACAGCGTGCAGCGCGGCGCTGTCGAGCCACAACGCCAGGGGCTCCGGATACGCGCAGCAGATGTCCCACAGTGGCTCAGGCGAGAGCACCAGTGAGAAGATGCCACTGGCAGTCCTCACCGGAAGGTCGTCGAAACGAAAATCACCCGACAGCTCCATCACCAATCGGTTGTGGACTTTTGTCGGGCGGCAAGTCACTGACTTACCTTGGGAGAAAACGAATGAGTCAGACCAGACTCGTGTCGCGAGATTGCTGCTGAGCAAATGGATTCCGCTGCCGCTGAGGAAATCAGCCCTCGAAGAGAGCTCCATAGAAGCAACCTCGGGGAAAGACCACGGGGTGAGCAAGGAAGGACCGGAGGGTGCATCGTCACAAGGGGCAGCATCGACTGAAGGATACGTGGCGATTGGGGAAGGTGAGGATGGAGAGGTGGAAACGGAGGAGAAAGTTGGGGCATCGACGGCGATCGTCGCTGGGGCAAAGCGTCGGGTGAGGAGGGGCTTCACATACCCCGGCACGCTGTGGTGCGGGGCCGGGAACAGCGCGGACAACTTCGATCACCTGGGTGAGTTGGAGGTGGCACGGCCGTTGCTTACTTCACAATGGACATGGGAGATCCCGTGAAGCGATTCGCCCGAAAAACACAGGAGGCCACGTGCGCCATAAACCACGGGGCCAACATTTAGCACAATTGGAAAATTACTCGCGAAATTAATTCAATGGGTATAAAAAATATAGTGATATCGCCTCCTCCCCCCACGCTGAAATACTAAATACAATAGCCACCTGTGAAACATAGCGCCTTGGTAATAGCCATGACGCTGTCAAAATGATGCAAACAAAGCAAATGTGCAAAATCATTTGTAAGTATTATGGGAGACTGGTCTTCAGATCGACCACACTCAGAAAAATTGTAGCAGATTTTAAAGATGTTCCACCTTCCAATCAGATTGAGCACCCTATGTCAACTCCTCCCCTTGTGTAGCTCCTCGCCAATTGAAGTTGAGAACGCTATTTGAACTCGTACAACCTTTAGACCAGGTAAGCATGTATTTACTTAATAAGAGAGTTCGCCCTCTCGGTGTCCCTTACAAAAGGAATCGTTGCCACTCTTCAGAAGCACGTAGTTTTTACCGCTACTTTTCAAAAGCATTTATGAACTTAGGGTCCATTATTAAGGCCACATTCCAACTGAGATAAAATATATATAGTTACCTGTTTTCAAGTTGTTAAATAAATAGGATGCCTTTTCACGGCATAATTTACTAATGGGCATGAATTTACACTGAACAATAAGAGAGTATTAATCTGACTCTGAGACTAAATAATTCACACTGAACTCTATGGTAGCCTTAGTCTGGCTTTGTGAGCCTCAGTGATTAGCACTGAACACTATGAGAGCCCTAGCCTTGCTCTGTGAGCCTTAGTGATTAACAAGTAATGGTGAGAATGGCATTGCGAAAATGCACGTAGATTTCCTAATATGGATTAACAACACTCCCACTTCATGTTATATATCTTACCCTAGATAAGCAACATACAAGGCAGTTGCCTAGATTCATAATATATAAGCGCCATTCCTTTAGATTTCCTATTATAATTTAGCAACATCCCCGCCACAGTCCAATCATAAAGGCTCAGTATTTGTGATGTGTGCATGTCTTTTTTAATTGTGGGGAGCGGCAGTGTAGCGGTTTGCGTTACGGACCCGGTGACCAGAGTTCAATTCCCGCTTACAGCCAACACCAGTGACGATTATCTAACCCGGACCTGGGCCTCCCTTAGGTCGACTCAGCCTCAAATGAGTACCCGGAGTGGTGTGAAAACATCACCATTGGGAAGGCAAAATAGGCCGGGCGTGGTGCTGGCCACTCGCCCCCACGTGTCGGTCTTCATCGGTGCTGCGCGCGAACAGCACTTGCGCCAACAGTCTGTTGAAGGCTTTAGGGGGATCTTTGTATTTTAATCGATGATGGCTGATGGAAGAGACTGCGGCTGTAATCATGTGGACTTTAAAGATCTCGTGACACAGTTGAGAAAATACCTCGTTGGCCACGTGTGGAGATGAAGTCAGAATCAGGGTCGGGCATTCAGTAACAGCCATATAATGCAATGTGAATACGAGACGGTGATGGTCCTTAAGAATAAACGGCACGAAGCAGTCCTTAAAGAGCCACCGCAGGGGAGCCTCCCACTGGCTCTCTCTGCTCGGCTGGGGACCTCGAGGCCACGAGATTGGCCGAGAGGTTTCGAATTGGCACGTGCGAGATGATGGAAGGGGTAACGGGGGTTATGGGGGGGGTGGGATTGGAGTGGGGGCGGAGGGGAGGCAAGAGACCCCTAAATGGGATTCACACTCACGACCAATAAACTAAACTAATAAACGATTACATAAATTTTATTTTTCCAAGCTATGAAACTCTTTTTCAGAAGCGACCTGGCCACAAACGATCGCTCAACGAAGTGGCTTATCATGTGGAAATGTATAGCATTAGCCAAATACTCTGAAGTGCATGTTGATTCGAAATGTGGAGGCAAAATCCAAGCGACCACGGGGAGGGAGAGAACACGCAGAACCCAAATATACGGCAGAGTCGGGGCCGAACCCATGACCTCCTGCATGCCAGGCGAGAGAGATAACGTCTCAACACCGCGGCGCCCGTTAACCAGCGAGGAACACTGGAACCGGTCCTGGGGGCCTAGACTTAGGTCGACTCAGCCTTAAATGAGTATACCTGGTGCAGTGCATAGTAGACATTGGTACTGGAGAGGAGACAAAAGCGGCCAGGCTGGCGTGGTGGTTGTGGTGGTTTTGCTCCACCACCCAGGGGTGTGCCACTACGCCGAGCCCTTCACAGGCGTTACTGCTGCTGCTTGCGAACTAACAGCACTTGACTCGAGAGTCCCTTTGAAGGCTACATGGGGGACCTCTGTTTTCTCCGGTGCACCCACAGGCGAGTTCGAGGAGACGGATCGCTGCTGCCGCGACCATGACCACTGCGAGCACGTGATCGACGCGTTCCGATACAAATACGGACACCGCAACCTCCGCTGGTACACCATCTCGCACTGCGCGTGCGACCACAGGTGAGTCGCAGTGGCTCGGAGATGTGAACTACCTTGCCTGATATACATGAGGTTGTGGGTTCGATCCCGACCCTGACGCCTGCTGTATATTTGGAGTTTGCATGTCTTTCTCTCTCTCCCCGTGGTCGCGTGTATTTTCCTCCGGGCCCTCCGGTTTTCCCTGCATATATCGAAATAACGCGTTGATAGCATTTGGCTGCTATAAATTTCCACATGCTGGTATACCACTTTGTTGGGCTACCGTTTGTGATGGCCAGGCCGCTTCTGGAAAAGAGATGTATTGCTTAGTGGGGACTTACTGGGTAAATTAATATTATTTAGTTGAGAGTCCGGAGGTGTTCGGCCGTGTGAGATACGTCGTGCCACTTCGTGTCGTGTAGTAATGGAGTGTATAGTAGTCTGTCTGTATGTTAAACTTCTTCCTCACCGTACATAGCCAACACTACATGGGGAGGCGTTCCCTAAAGCGTTAATTCTTACGTATTAGCAATAAAATATATGATTCATTACAATATCAGTATTATTTACTGTTCTCACTAGTGCATCAACCTGATGTACGTATGTTGAACTTCTTTGGCACCGTACTAAATCAACCGTGCTAATCGGCGGAGGAGCAAGGGAAGGACAACAATCTAAACGCATAATGCGGTTCTATAGGAATGTGTTTGTCAATCTAGATTATGTAAAGGTGCAGAGTTCCAGCGGCTTCCTAATATCGGAAGGAGGAGCGTTCCAGACGGCCGCAAAAGCGCATCTTAAAGCATGCAATGTGGAGACCGCCTTTGTTCGATTGTTAGCCAAAAGCCGCTGCTGTGAATAATTTATGGGAGAGGTTGTACAAGGGGGGGGGGGGAGTTTAGGGGGGAGGAAGTACATGGGGGGGGGGGTACAAGGGGCGAGGAGTACAAGTTTGGAGGGGGTTCAGGAGACACTATCCGCGTGTGTTCCGAACTCCGCGTCCCGTACGAGGCTCCTTCCTCCTCCGCCCCACTGATTGCATCGCTATCGGAACAGCAACTCGGCATGGACTCGGGTCGCCGGGTTCGTAGTTCAGCGCATTAACCATTACGCTATCGCACCCCACCAGCTCTACATACACTCACTCATACACTCACTCACTAGTTCACTCACCCACACTTATCAGCTCCACGCACTCACTCACACTCTCACCAGCTCACTTACCCACACACTCACTCATACTCACCAACTCACACGCAAAAAAAAACAAAGATCCCCCATATAGCCTTAACAGACTGTAGGGGCAAGTGCTGTTAGCGAGCACCTATGAACGGTACACGAGGGGGTGGGTGGCCAGCGCCACGCCCGACCGCCTTTGTCTCCCTAGTGGCGATGCTGAGTCGACCTAGGGGAGGCCCAGGACCGGTTCAGATAATCGTCACTGGTGTTTGCCGTGAGCGGGAATCAAACCCAGGTGGCCAGGTTCGTAGTGCAGCGCGCTAACCGCTACACTACCGCTCCCAAACTAACCCACACATACACTCACACACACCCATTCACTCACATCACCCACTCACATACTCACCCACTCACACATCCACACTCACTTAGACTCACCAGCTCACTTACACACACCCACACACTTACTTACTCACTCACGCACACCAGCTCACTCACACACTCACTCACGCTAACCCACTCATACACTCACCCACTCACACACTCACCCACTCACCCACTCACACACTCACCAACACTCGCCTGCACTCTCATCCACACACTCATACAAAACAAAGATCCCCCCCCTCAGACTTTGGGGGAAGAAGCTGTTAGCGAGCACCAAGGAAGGCCGGCACGGCTTGTAGATAGCCAGCACCACAACCGGCCGCCTTCGTCTCCCCAGTAGCGATATTTATACACCGCACCAGTTACTCATTTGAGGCTGAGTTGACCTAGGGGAGGCCCAGGACTAGTTCAGATAATTCGTCATTGGTTTTGGCCGTGGCGGGAATCGAACTCGGTTACCCGGGTTAGTAGCACAACGCGCTAACCGCTACACACCCACCCCCCACTTACACACACTCACCCACTCAACCAATCACTCACACACTGGCTTACACGAACCCACTGACGCACCCTCACCCACTCACGCACCCTCACCCACTCACTCATCTACTCACCCAATTACTCATCCACCCAAACACTCATCCACCCACTCACACACTCACTATAACCCACTCATGTGCACTCACTCACACATACCCACTCATACACACTCACCCACCACTCACCCACTCATCCACTCACTCACTCACACTCACACATACCCACTCATACACTCACACACTCACCCAAACACTCTTTCACACTCACACACTCACTCACTCACACACTCACGCATACCCACTCATACACTCACACACTCCCCCACCCACACTTATTCACACTCACCCACCCACAAATTCACCCACCCTCGACGTCATCACTGAAACCATCAGGTTCAAAAATCAGAGGCGGGGTAGGGGGACATCTTCATTCATAAGAAATTCCAAACATCTTGTGAATGTGATTAAAGATATTCAACTTAACCCTAGTGATATGCTGGTGAGCTTTGATGTAATTTATCTATTTACTAAGGTTCCAGTTAACGAGTCACTTAAATTACTCTATACGCTAGTAAATAAGACAGGTTTACCAAAAGATATTCCAAAACTAGTTGACCATTGTCTAAATAACACATGTATTTTTTTAAGGAGAGGTGGTTTCTGTACATGGAAAACTTTGAAGCAAGAGCACTTGCTTCAAGTACATTAAAACCATATTTTTGGTTTAAATATGTAGATGACACTTTGGTTGTCTGGCCACATGAGAAAGATACGCTTAATTAATTTTTAAATCATTTCAATTCATAAAACCCGGCCATCCAGTTCACCATGGAAATGGAGGTGAATAACATACTCCCCTTTCTGGTTCTTTTGCTCGGACGCGGCCTAAATTGTAAAATAACACAGATTATCATCATCACCCCACACAGAAATGCTCTCTCATCAAGATGCTTATACGTTGGCCTAAAACAATGTCAGATGGTGGAGAGAGATTAAACATCTTAAAGAAGCGCTACGATTGAATGGCTACAATAATGTTCAAATTAACAGAGCATTGAATGCCAAACCAAGATCGAACAGCAATACTGCTGAAAGCGATCAAGTTATTAAAACAATTAAAATACCATATATCGTGGGAGTGACTGACAAATTAGCTCGACTTTTGGAAAAGCAAAAAAATCTAATTCAAATTTGGCACGGTCCACAAAATTAAAAAATTAGTATCTTGTACTAAATATGAATTGCCTAAGTTATCAACAAAAGGTGTGTATAGGATTAATTGCCTATGTGGCAGATGCTCTATTGGACAGACAGGATGTAACATTAGCGTCAAACTAAAAGAACACCAAATAAATATTAAAAACTTTCAAACACAACTGTCGGCAGTTGCAGAACATGCTTGCCAAAAATGACAATTGATTTTGATAAAGTTGAAGTGTTGTGTAAAACGTATTATTACTAGCCAAGACTAATTCGAGAATCCTTTGAAATTGAGAGAAATACAAATAATTTAACCGCTCTGACAACTACTGGCTTAGTGCGACCTGGAAGGGTATTATTAAGTAATTGTAAGATGAGAAGATCAAGAGGATGGCAGAATAAGAGGTGAGGCGATGTGGTGCGGTTGGACATGGTGGCCCGAGGAGCGGAGGGAGAGATGGCGTGGGACGTGGCGGTGTGGAGAAGGTTGGCAAAGATGGCGGACCCCACATGACTGGGACAAACGTGTGGAAGAAGAAGAGATTACAATTACTTATAAAGGAAACGCACACTAATTAAATGATTACTAATCTATTACATAATTACAATAGCCCCCCCCTCCCCAGCCTCTGATTGCTGCCCCTGATGGTTTCAGTGATGACGTCATCCTGCTCTATCTAAGACTGGAAGCAGGTGGATGGCTTCACTATTCTGGCAAATCGCCCGATGATGCTGAATGTAATTAACAGCGAAAGTCGTATTCAAATTATAAATGTTGTGGATTTACTCTCCAACACACCGGTGGGCTGAAGTAGTAACTAACTGGCATGTTGTTTACGTTACAAACCTTACTGGCTGTGTCGGTTGGTGGAGGGTTATGACACATTTATACTTGACCAAAAAACCTTTATCATGAATAATATTGGTCGCGAAAGCCTACGTGTTAAACTCGCTCACACATACACATTCACCCACCTACCTACATACTCACTCATTCACTCACTCACGCTCACACATACCCACTCATACACTCACGCACTCATCCACGCACACACTCACCCAAACACTCATTCACACTCACACACTCTCCCACCCACAAACTTATTCGCACTCACACACTCGCCCACCCACTCACCCACCAACCCACCCGCACACTCGCTCACACACTCTGCTCACTCACCCACTCGCACACTCTGCTCACTCACCCACTCGCACACACTCACAGATAACAATAACATCTCAACACGGTCGGTACGAGCAACACCGCGTGGCCTTGTAGACAAAACAATGGCACCGCCATGGGGTGAGCTCTTTCTTGTTTTCAACAACAAACCTTCGCAAAATGCACTGCGCCAGCAACACTTTTAATACAAAGTCGTGTGCTTCGAAGTCATACTTTTGATTATTAAAGGAGGTTGCCCGTTACGCAACAGCTACCATTACTGGTTACCAGCCAAATTCCGAATGGATTTTAAGATAATGCTATTAACCTATAAGGCTTTAAAAGGGCTCACCCCACATTACTTGCAGGAACTAATACATTTATATATTCTATCAAGGTCCTTAAGATCTCCTGATCTCCAACTGCACAGCACTCTCAGGTCTCTAGAGTTGCGCTCTTTTGGTGATGGGGCTTTCGTTAGCGTGGCACCCAAGCTATGGAACGCCTTGCCACTTAAAATCAGCAATCGGAGACTGTTGATATATTTAAGTCCGCTTTGAAAACCCATCTCTTTAAAGTGGCCTTCCCTCTTTTGATTGGTCGTTTTCCCTGGTTCTGTTTTTGTTTCCTGCTATTCATGCGTTGCGCATTGGTAATTATTCTCATTATTAGTGTAACTTAATCATGTCATATTACAACGACTAAAATAGGCATCAGAAATTATAATATTTTTATCATTTTAATTCTCAGCAGGTCCCTTGGTTTGTGTTATACAAGTACGGTATTATCCACTCCGTCTCTCTCGTCTGGCCTTTGATTACACTGTTTAACAATTTTTTTGTCCCTGGGTAGTAAGTGTGATTTCCTAAATGCTTATGCCTCAAAAATACAGAAAATGGCTATTATTCCCCAAAACTTTGCTTTTGTGAAATTTACCTATTTTCCAGAACATTCCAGATAGATTCAGTGCTGGGTAAACTTGGAATAACTTCTAGAACATTCTAGAACTTTCCAGTAATATAAATAGTAGTATAAATACAGGGGCCTTAAGCCCACCAGTTCAGTTTAGTTCCAACTGCTTAAGTGGATACACATCTACATTTTTCTGAGATGGCATGAAGAGGCTGCGAGCATCCGGCAGACGCATTTTGCTATGTCTGTAGCCAATTTATCAAGAAAAGAGCGAAAAAGTACTCTGTGGAAGCATCTGCTAAGATGTGTGAGGCCTAGAAGGCATATTTCGGCATTCCTGTCAGGGATCAAGACAAACCCTGGGCACCTCATTTCACCTGCGAGCAATGCAAAAAAACTCTGGAAGGTAAGATGGACAATTGTTGCTCGGTATTTTTTTACTCTAAGTGCAATCAGGTACAGAGTGGAGCCTTTACCCCATGTGAGCGGGGCTTGTTATTGAGTGGGTGTGGCTGTGTAAAAGTATGCGAGGCTGAAAGAGGGAGGGTCCTCCAGCTGGCCACGTGTCCGAGTTGAGCCTCCTAGATATGTGGTAACTTCCAGAGACGCGTAGAAAAAAGTCATATTCGGAATATTTATTTTTACTGGAGAAATTCGATAATATAATACAATTCTCACGACGTTTCGGCCACAACGCAAGCAGCCGTCCTCAGGTGAAGAACAGGTCTGTCGGAAAGACAGCTCTTTTTCACAGAGGGGTGCAAGGTATAGGAAAGGTAATACAAAAACGAGATAAAATACATTTACTTTACCAGGTAGAGCCCAATAAGATAGGAGCTTCTTTTTCAAAAGCGACCTCGCCACAAATGATAGCTCAACGAAGTTGTTTTCCACGTGGAAATGTATTCTTTCGGTAAAGTCACGTAGTTAGACATAAAAGAAAAGAAAACAAATCACGACGTTTCGATAGCAACACAAGCGGTCGTCATCAGGCATGAAAGCTTCAAATCAAGATTTAGCCAAATAATATAAAACGCATGATGTTAATTCTAAATGTGGAGGGAAAACACGGAGGACCTGGAAACATTTTAAACTAAAAACAATTTTTTTTTTATTTAAGGTTACCAGGTAAAGCCCCCTGAGCTATGTAACTCTTTTCCAGAAGCGACCTGGTCACAAATGATAACTAAATGAAGTGGCTTATTTTCACGTGGAAATGTATTGCAGCAGCTAAATACTCTAAACGCACGTAGATTCTAAATGTGGAAGGAAAAACCGGATAAAAATCCACACGACCACGAGGAGAGAGACGTAAGAACTTCAAATATACAGCAGGCATCATGGTCGGGATCGAACCCACGACCTACCTGCACACCAGGCGAGGTAGTTAACATTTTGCCACTGTCCCCCCCTTCGCTCTCATTCTGTAGCTTCAAGCAATGCCTGCGGAGGTCCAACGACACGGCGTCGCTCGTCATGGGCCAGGCATACTTCAACGTCATCAGCGTGCCCTGCTTCACTCTCGAGGAGCACGAGGAGTGTGCCGAGAGGTCCTGGCTGGGATGGTAAAGGCTGTGCGATGCGACACTGCCACCGCCGCTCCTCCAACCCGCATTGTCTCCACCCATGTCAAAATCAATTCATTATACGCACTGCTTTCACACAGTGCGTATAATGGATTAATCCGATGAGCTATGAAGCTCTTGTCCACAAATGTTTAGTAGCGACGGGTCTATGAGCAGTGGTGGGTCTACGGGCAGTGTTGAGTCTATGGGAATGTTGAGTGTATGGGCAGTGTTGAGTCTAAGGGCAGTGTTGAGTCTATGGACAGTGTTGAGTGTATGGGCAGTGTTGAGTCTATGGGCAGTGTTGAGTCTATGGTGTAGTGAATCTATGGGCCTTGCTGCTCCGTATACAGGGGAAGTTGATTCCAGTGGAGGGATGCAAGGAGGGAGAAGAACCGATCACGGGATTGGGCACAGAGAGGAGGGACAGAGAGGGAAGATTGAGACCAAAGAGGACGAGAGGATGGGACATGGAAGGAGATGAGATGTGAGATGAGGTGGGTAAGGCCATGGAGAGATTTTAGTTTATTTTGTTGTATATACGTAAATAATTGTGTCACGTTGCATGAATAATACCAACTGCAAAATAATTACATATACAATGTAATTCGCTCTCTGTCGGTCACCACCTATCTTACGAGATACATCCAGAGGGGCACATCACCGCATTTTACGAGATGAAACACAACTATTGATCATTCATCCCATTCACATTCCCAACTGAGATATGGTGTCTACAGGGATAATTATTAAAATGATAGTAATCATGTACGGCCCTTTTCCAATTCACAGTAGGATGAAGCCTCCCCTCTCCATGCCGTGTGAATTGGCGAATGGGGAGATTAGGAGAGGGGGGGATCAAGGGACCAATTCTGATCTCACTTGCGGCTCATTATTGTGACAGACCCAACGCAGAAGATCCCTGGGTATTATCTTCCACGAATGTGTTCATGGTCCACCCTAAACTGGACACTGCACAGACCATGACAATAGATGCGGATACCTGATGCACAAAATATGGAATGTTAAAACTCTCCAGTGTGCGACTGTCATCATCCAGAACAGACCATACAATATGTTTTCTTTGGGTCTTTCGGTAAAGTCACGTAGATAGGTTCAAAGAAAATAACAAAAATCTACGACGTTTTGATCACAACACAAGCGATCATCACTAGGAGGAAAAAAAGAGGAAAGCTGCTGAGGCAGACTGTTTTAAAGGTGTAAAATGGGTGTAGCCCAAGGGTCATAAACGAAGTGGGCGGGGCTAGTGATGTTAATGTGAGAAATTAGCATGTTAATGTAAGATCGGAGGGCGACATCCACGGCAAAGGCGCGGAGGTGGCCATGTTAATGTTAATCTCTCTGACGCGGTTGTTATCTGGCTTGACCACCTGAATGTGAAATTATAGCTGTTGATCTGCATCCACACGAAATTAGAAGGCTTATGCTTTTCATGGTTGGGAATCGAAATCTCGTTTTCGAGTGTGAACCAGCGCTCACCCTCTGGATGGTAACTCGACAGTCTCGAAATGCAACTACATCTCGAGACTGACAACAGCCCAGACTCTGATGGGGTCGCTAGACAATATACTTAGAGACCCGTCTCTGAGCTGGTCTAGAAACAATGATAGACAGACTGGTCTCACTCATCCACTCACTCACTCACTGACTTACCCACCCACTGATCTACTCACACACTCACTCATCCACTCACTCACTCACTAATTTATCCACCCAGGAAGCCAATCTCTGAATCACTCAGTGACTAATTCACTCACTCACCCACTAACTCTCCCACTCACTCAGTCATCCACTCACTCACCCACTCATCCACTCTCTGACCCAATCATTCACTCACTCACCCACTAACTTTCTCACTCAGTCATTCATCCACCCACTAACCCAATTGCTAACTCACTTACTCACTCACTACCCCACTCACTCACTCACTCACCCACTCATTTATCCACCCAGGAAGCCAATCTCTGACTCACTCACTACTTCACTCACTCAGCCACCCACACACTCACCCATCCACTCATCAACTCACAGACGCCAGGTGCTGGCAGCGTGGTGACATTGGGCAGTCGATAGGCGATATGAGACTCGCAAATCGATCGCCAGCATCAATCCATACAAGCAAAGGGACTGACGGCTTGCATTCGACTGCAGGTGCCAAACGCACGAGACGGTCTACAGAGCTATCATTCGGGATCAGGAGCCCTACCAGTACGGCGCCGTGGATCTCATCGACCTGCCCGTGACCTCACCGACACTGGCGGCACGGGGGAATAAAGGCACGGAGGCGCCGGGCACGCAGGAGAGAGGGGAGACGGCAGAGGAGGGAGCGGCGGACGGGGCACGGACCCTGGGGATCTCCTCCCCTGGGGCCGAGGGGATGGCTGGGGTCGCCGTGGCTGAGAAGCCGACGGTCAAAGCCACGACGGAGCGGCAGAGTACAGGTGAGCTCTGATCGCCTCGATTCTGTCAGTCCACGAGTTTCACTAAGTAGTGTTAGCTGCTGATGTTGTTCAAGCATTTTAATTTGCGTGTGTGTGACTCAAATGACAGCCCAATGAAGTGGATTATCACGTGGAAATATATAGCAGCAGCCAAATACTTTAAACGCGTGATGTTCATTATAAATGTGAATGGAAAAACTGTAGGACCCAGAGAAACTTCACGCAACCACAGGGAAAGAGACGCGCAAACTCCAAATATTCAGCAGGCATCAGGATTGGGATCGAACCCATGACCTCCTGTATACCAGGCAAGTTAGTAAACATCTCGTCACCGTAGTTTAGGAGCTGCCCTACAGCCACAAGAGACGCGGATATTTACCGCTTGCTGTACTGCCTCATGCAGCCAGACCTGTGGTGGACATTTTTATTATAAAGCTACCAACTGTGCCAGTTTTAGTTTCAAAATGTTTTTCACGATATCCTGACCATTTGTGAAAATCCAGATTTTAAACCCCCGGTTTAATATTTTCGGGCCAAATCCTGGATTCACGATGCCTGAGTGGTGGGCGTGGGCTATCTGAGTAGTGGGCGGTGACTACCTGAGTAGTGGGTGGGGCTACCCGAGTAGTGGGTGGGGCTTCCCGAGTAGTGGGCGGTCACACCTGAGTAGTGGGCGGGACTACCTGAGTAGTGGGCGGGGCTAACTGAGTTGTGTGGAAGGCTATTTCAGAATATGAATATAATACTGTTTTTTTGGGGGGTTTGATAATTTGTCACGTAAACAGAATTTTCCAATTCGTTACTAGTACAGCACACCGGCGTGTTGGAGAACCATGTCACAACATTTACAATCTGAGTATGACGTTCGTCAGGATTACAACTAGCTTCATCAGGCGACAGCCAGATTTATTGGCAGCGGGCAGACTTCCTGACCACCTCCGATTAACGCTTTTTGCTATGTACGGTGCGAACACTATACACTACACTATACACTACAGACACTACAGACATTACACGATACACTACATGACTACACACGACACAGTACACTATGCGACTGTATACTACACTACCATACACTACACCACTATACTAAATTGAAAACTCGTTTTTTTATAACTGCTTTTTGTGTGTTAGTTTGTTGTTCTTCCCCCGCAACCTCTGATTAGCATGGTTGGCTATGCACAGTGCGAAAGAAGTTCAACATACACATCTAGTGGGTACAAATGGAAGGAGGCTTCTCTGGAGGCAACACGTTTTTTTATTTAATAACGATACAGCTTAACACGAAGGGGTTACAGCCCCTTTCACCCGATATCCTAAGGAGGTATGTCCTCCTCACTAGCGTGCCCTACACACTGGGAGAGCTGTCCGCTAAGGGTCCTCTGGCTAGCGGGACCTAGGGAGGCTAACCTGACCCAGCCAAGGTCCTCGGGTCCTATCCACAGGGCTGCTCCGACCCAACCCAGCCAAGGTCCTCGGGTCTGGCCCCCGGCTCCAGGTCTTCCAGGTGGCTTCTTGAGTCTTCGAGTGGATGACAACTATCGGGCCCGTTCAGGGACCCAGCTTTTATACACATTCCCAGCTCATTCCGCCCCTAGTCACACCTTCCTTCTGGAATCTTCCCGAGGGACCTGGCGTGTGACGTCATCCCCCAGCCCCTTCTTGGGGTCTGGGGTCCGCACCATGATCCCCAGGGATTACCTTGGCCCAACGGCCCGACTTCATCGACCTCGCCGGCTCAGCCTCTATTCTGCCCCCTGTTGACACGGGGCCGGTACTACCGGCTATGAGTAGTGGCGATCGCGCTCAACAATGTCACTACACACATTGCACCGTCAGAACCTGAGTATAAAACATACAAATATGCCAGTTACAAGCGGATTTAACCAAAGAAAGCCCTATAAGCAGCATTTGTGGACTTCCAGAAGCCTGGAAATTGTTTGCAATTACATCCACCTGTTCACGCTATGAACAGCAAACGATATATGATACAATAGGGGGTCCAGAGAGTGACGCCTGAATTTTAATCGAGCTCCCGGCCATGGGTTACTCAGCAGAGCCGTGAAATAGGAATGTCTATTTTGTGTTTGTTATCGGGTTGTAACTAAGGGTGAATTCGACTTAAAAAAATCTAAATACCAGAGATCCGCGTGAGCGGTACCTGTCACCTCCAAGCCAGCTACACAGCTGGATGCGTCGCTAGGAGACCTTCCTTGTTGGTTTTTCTCGCTCAGCGCCACGGTGGCTCGGATATGTTAAATACCTCGCCTGGTATACAATCGAGGTAGATCACCGACCCCCCCTGCCCCGTACTGTGACCGAAGCTGTGTACTCGGCTAATGTTGAGTCCTCACATCTGACCACAGTTGACATCTACCCTTTCTGGGTGTTAAGATGTGCAAACACCAATTAGGTACCTTTTGCAAGGCATATATTATCCGAGCATGTTTGTATGTTTTCTACAAATACGTGCGGCTAATTCAGACTTGATTCCTTGCAAAATGTATCTATTTGGTGTTTGGATATCTTAACATGATATCTCAATACCATCTTACTGCCTGCAATCCACCTCACAACCATCTCTCTCTACAACCACGATAGGAGATGTTATCTACCTCGCCTGGTATAGAGAGGTTCGTGGGTTCGATCCATACCCTGACGGTGCCTGCTGTATATTTGGAGTTTGTGCATCTCTCGCCCCGTGGTCGCGTGGATTGTTCTCCGGATCCTCTGATTTCTCCTTCCACATTTATAATTAACATGCGTTTAGATTATTTGGCTGCTATAAATGTCCACACGATAAGCGTCTTCGTCGAGCTATAATTTGTGATAGCCAGGTCTCTTCTGAAAAAGAGCTACATCACTGAGTGGGCCTTACCTGTAAAAAAATATGTATATTTTAGAGTTTTTATAGTATAAAAAAGTCATCACAATTTCCACTTGAACGCCACTCTTTGTGAGTGTAGTGTCGTGTAGAATCACTCAGTCGGACACGCTGTTCCAAGTTCACCTGCTTACACTTTATTACTCTACTCCTGCACCAGTTGTAGGCACTCATATCTCTGTCTATATGGTCACTTTGTTAACCAACTTCCCCTATCTACTTTACACCTCGCTGACCTGCCTGCAGCAGCTCTTTCTCTCAGCGGCTCTGCACTCACAACTCCGCACACAGACCGCAGCTCACACAGGGCTTGCACACAGTAGCGCTCACACAGAGGCTTCGCTCACACAGCTTGTAGACAGCTGCTCTCCCTCTGCACCGCTGCCCTCGCCTACATTCCCTCAGACCCACTCACTCGTCCGATCAGTGCGGGGGGATCAACCATCACCCGCCCAGCGACTCGCGAGGGTTGAGGTCCATCCCTGGCTTGAGCGGCAGCGGTGAGATGTCTTCACCTTGGTCGCAGGAACCCAAACTCTCGCTCCGTCGCTTCGCTCTCACGCACCCCCTTTTATCTTCCTCCCAATTATCCAGCTCCTCCCTCGTGTCTCTTTAGGGCCAGACAGGCTGGCGACACCCCCGGTGCCAGCGTACATTTCCGGGCCGACCCCGTCTGCAACAGATTCTCCTTTTAATGAGGTGGAGGTTTGCTCGTGCAACCTTACGTTGCACACGCGCACCTGCCTGCCCTCAGTTCCCCTCGGCCAGCAGTGCGCACCGTGCATTTTACCACACTACATGAGTATAAACTGCAGCAAACAGCAACATCTGCCCATTTCTTGATATTTTGAACGTCAAAGCCAGCGGCAATTGAGCTACTATCTTGATTTGAAGCTTTAGTGACTGCAGGAATCCATACTCTTTGTTTGTTTCGATAACGTCACGTAGGTATAAAATAAAATAAATCACGACGTTTCGGGGCGCAACACAAGCATCCCACCTGATGACGGACGCTTGTGTTGCGCCCGCAACGTCGTGCTTCATTTTATTTTATACCTACGTGACTTTACCGAAAAAACCAAAGAGTTATTGAGCTTCTCTTTGAGGTTAATCTAAATAATCTAAATAAAGATTCTTTCTCTGATTAATTTGGCGACTTCCTGCTGAGTGGGTTTTTTTTGCCACACGGTTACTCATCGCAGGCATGGACACCAAATGGCAAGCAACAAACAGCACCATCGCATATTCTAGAAATCGGAGTGGCGTAACACGTGAGTTGAAATATTCAGTTTGTTCACGACAGATTGGGGAGGGAATTCCCAAATGAAAAAGTTCAAGAGAAGAAGCAGCTAGAGGAGTGTTGTGATCTGCAGCGTGGTGAGTTGGTGAGTGGGTGGATGAGTGTGTGATTAGGTGAGTGGGTGGGTGAGTCGGTGAGTAGGTGCGTGGGTGGGTGAGTGAGTTGTTGGGTGAGTAGGTGGGTGGGTGAGTTGGTGAGTGTGTGGGTGAGTGAGTTGTGGGTGAGTGGGTGGGTTGTTAGGTGAGTGGGTAGGTGAGTGTGTGAGTTGGTAAGTGGGTGGGTGTGTGTCTGAGCGGGTGTAGGGGTTAGCGCACTGCGCTATGAATCCGGCGGCCCGAGTTTGATTCCCGCTCACGGCCAAAACCAGTGACGATTATTTGAACCGGTTCTGGACCTCCCCTAGGTCGACTCAGCCTCAAAATGAGTACCTAGTGCATGTGTAAACATCGCCACTAGGGAGACAAAGGCGGTCGGGCGTGGTGCTGGCCACCCATCCTCTCATGTGCCATGCCGGCCTTCATAGGTGCTCGCTACCAGCACTTGCCCCAGCAGTCTGTTAAGGCTTTACTGGAGACCGTTGTCTTGTGTGTCTGAGTATGTGAGTGTGTTACTGGATGGGTGAAGGCGTGAATGAGTGCTCGTAACAGCACTTTTGCCCAAAGTCTGTTAACCTTATACGGTAGACAGTTGTCTTTGCAGGTGAGTGAGTATCTGAGTGAGCAATGAGTGATTGTGTGTGTGTTTTGTGTAAGTACTTTGTTGTAACCTGCAGTGTTGGTGGTGACTGAACAAAATATTAAACAAGTTAGTATTTTGGACAAAGAGTCCCCATCACGGGAGGAGGAATCGATGAGTGGCATTCAAGAGATCAGTAACCGCGTTATTACCAAGACGAAGAGTAACAGGGAGGCTACTGTCTGCTCGCGAGCGAGCGACCGGGTTTAGTGCGATTCGGGGTTCATCAATCACTCTGACCGCTTTCAAATGTGGGCTGGGGGCTGTTGAGATACGGAGGTACTGCCTGCCAAAGGTCAACCACGCGGAAATGTGACCGCTTGAATGTTGATCTCCTAACTGCGACAGACAAGGACACCTCGACGAAGCAAGGACAGCCAAGGACGGCTGCAGGCAAGGGAGGCAGAGGCCGTGGAAAGAATCGGGGCAAGAAGAGACGAGGACGCAAGAGGAAGGGAAACCCCAACTCGGCGCCGAGTGGGAAGGCAGCTTTGCCAACGATGCAGCAACCTGCGATCTTGGACCTCCGAGGTCTGTATACCCAGATAGGGAGCGGCTGAAGAGAGGACACAATCGCGTTTGTCTCACCCGACGTGGAGATTTAGGGCTGTTTATTAAAAAACCGGAGCGAAGCAACAACGTTGTGTTGCTGCGTTGAGGCAGTGATGCACGATCAATAAAAAGATAAAACAAAACCAATGCAATTCCTGCTCATGCGCTAGTGTGATCCTGTCCGTCTAAACACACGCTTCACGTTTGTGGAAAGGTTTTAAGGAGAAGGTACGTTCAGGCTTGATGTAAATGTAGACGTAAAGGGCGTTGATTCGATCCTGACCCTGACGCCTGTATATTTGGAGTTTGCATGTATCTCTCCCTGTGGTTGTGTAGATTTTTTTCCTGGTCTTCCGGGTTTTCCCTCCACATTTAGAAGCATGCGTTTAGCGTATTTGGCTGATGTAAATTTCCAAATGATAAACCACTTCGTTAAGCTATCATTTGTGGCCAGGTCGCATCTGAAAAGGACCTACGTGGGCCGTAGCTGGTAAAATAAAAATATATAGTTGAGTTTAGAGTTTAACTTGGTTTGTGAATGCCTCAATCGGCTGTTTGTTTTTAACGTCCTGACTGCCCGTTTGTGTTAAAGGCTTCTGATTGGTGTAGGGAGGCCTAAAAAATATTGGTTTATGGTCAGAGAATTAAATTGATTGGAGGAGAAATTCCAACGTTAAAGGCTGGGAAACGATGATTGACTGCCGGGGTAATGGTTGCCAACCGTTAGATAAGAAGGACGAGGAGATTGGCTGAGGGAAATTGGGCGAGCGAATCTTCGAGAAAGGGGGCTGGAGGAAATATAAAAAGGAGATGGCTCAAGGGGAAGGGATGGTTGGAGAGAAGACGAAGTTCAGGCCTAAAGAAAAGTGTTCGTGTCTCCAATAAAGGCTCTTAGTAAAGCAAGAATGCATGTCGGTCGTTGTTACATATTTATAATTAAAAGTGCAATTAATTTTGCTTTACTTTGCTTCATTCACAAATTTGTACCATGCGAATTGTTAAATTGGTTAAACAACGTCGTGCACTTACGATTGTGTGTGTGAATATGAGAATACATGCCTGCCTTGTAGGGGAGAAAGTGGAGGGCTGCCTCCACTGTGTGAATGTATTTTCTCTCCATAATAGTTTTTTTTTAGGTTAGAGCATGTAAATATAAATGTGTCATTAAACCTGCCACCATCACCTGACAGTCAATTAGGAAAGTTCTCACGTAAACAAAACATGCCAAATTCTTTACTAGTTCAGCACTCACCGATTGTGTAAACCCACAACATTTACAGTCGGCATCATCAGGCGACAGCCAGAGTTGTCTCGCATTTTAAATGTATTTACTCTGCAATACACAACCGGTATGCTGTACTAGTAACGAATTGGCATGTTTTGTTTACGTGAGAAACCTTACTAATTGGCTTTGTCACGTGTTGGCGGGTTTAACGACACATTTATGTTTACACAATCTAACCCAAAAACCTCTTATAGATGATATTGGCCGCGAAAGCCTCCTACGTTTTAAACCGTTTCTTCTCTCCCTTCTCGTTCATACAGAAAGCAGACTTATGGATACGTCTACAAATGCACCGAGAGCGGACACTGGCTCAGCCCCGGGCTCTCGCCCCATTGCAAACCCTCAGACTTTTCTGGCTAGAAGGCGTCAACATTTTGCTGATTTGCTCAAACATCTGGGTACCCATCCACGGGCCGCAGGAACATTGCCAGCTGTAATCCCCCCGAAGAGAGCAATTCGGGGAAATGGTAAAATGAGCCTTGGCTATTCCCTGCCCCCTTCAACCTTAAACAGCCTCCCAACGACCACCTCCAACCCCAATAACAACCAAACGTCTGTCGTGGTCTCCCAATTGCACTTGCCAGCTGGCCGTCAGCAGGTCGCCAAGTGCCCGTATGGGCTCTCGCTAATGGCGCGACTGCTATCCCGCGGAAAACCAAGGAGGCCACCAGCACGCCCACACAATAAAATGGCGGCGGCATCGCTGGATTTTGGTTTTCAAACGGTGGTGTCGATCACATCAGCAGCGATGACGACGACGATGGTGCCAGGGCAACAGATCCCATTCTTCACAAAAGCAGCAGCAGTGGCGGTGGCAGATGGGCGATCGTTTTACCATGCTGGCAAGGACGCGTTGAAGGCCACTGCCTTTGCAGGCACTGGTTTGAGAGCAATGATTGCACCAACGTCGTCTGCTCTCCAGCCTTTGGGTAGAATAACGGTGCAACCGCTCGTGAACGGTGACAATGTCGCCACCGGTGGCACAGTTATTCTCAAGGCAAAGCGCAAAAAGGGCAGAAAGAGAAAGAAAAGTGCGACATTGCTCGCGACACAGTCGCTCGATAATTCACCAGCAGAGAAGCCCTCTCGTTTTTCTAGGCTTTGGCTTACTTAGCGACTGGCGGTATAACTACCAGTCATAGTTAGAATAGAATGCAGGGTCTGCTGTGGACTTATAAGTAAGAATATTAGAGGTCTATCTTTTGTCTGTTTGTTTATAGACTCTTTGCACATATAACCATGGGCTGGAGCATTTAGAAAGAAATGGGTGAATAGGACAGGCAGAGGGCATGTAACCCCATTTTAGGCCCTGAATCAGTTGGTTAATCGTCTCCAAGTAGCCACATCTTTATTCATAGGGAAATCACAACAAACTTTGTCGTTTGGTCATATTTTTTCTCATGGAAATTGATATACTGTGCTTTAATCACATTCCGAATTGGTGGCTCGATGACAGATCTGGGTAAAAATATGACCTCATTTCCCAACTCTGTCCTGAAATCACAAGGAAAGCTATACCAGAAGAATTCACGTTGGGTTCATAGTCAACTTAGAGCAATCTGTTTGGTTCCAGGCTCCCAACAACACCACCTCAGTTTGATCCCAACTTAACGCTGATAAATGTCATCTTGTACATTTTCACGTCAGCAAGATAAGCCGTCAGTGTACTTTATGGCTCAGGTGTTGCCTGGTTTAAACGATAAGTACAGCTGAGTATGGTCAGCATAGCAATGAAAATTTTCCTTACTGGATGTGAACAACATCGCCCAAGAGTAGCAGCATCTACAATGTAACTTAACACAACTCTATGCACCATTGTATGGCAACAATCTTTTTGTCCTTACTCTATTTTAACAGATTGCGTATTTTTATACTTTTAGGGATATAATTTCTGTCCTCCAGTGTTGAGCCTGAAATAAGTGGTGTGAAGATGTCATCAATGTGCAGCTACAAAGCAGCAGGAAGTGGTAGGGAGTAATACCTGGAGTTGAACGGATTGCCATAAATATTCATGTTATTAGATTATCATAAATTATGTTCGCTAAATGTCCGACAAAATCATTGTTAATAGTGTGTGGATCACTCTTCATTGGTCATGTCGGGTGGAGCGAGGTGTACGACACACATCTTACTCACGCGATCCGATCTTATTGGTCGCAAAAACCGATACGTTAGAATGGTCAACAACATTGAAAACGACCCTTGGCTCTTGAGAATGAATGGCCAATAGTTTTGAAGGCTACTCCCGTAACAAAAAGCTAAGCCCATACCATAAGGAATCTGCACATCATTCACTACTCTAGTGAACAACAAATACATGGGCAGCCAATACGCCTTCTTCCCATTATTTGTCCCCAATTGTATTTTTTTTCCACATCGCATCAGCCACACGGACGTCTGAAAATGAATATTGTCAGCAGCATTGGGTACAATACAAGCACATCTCTGTAACGATGTGCTCCCGGAAGCGTACCGTGGTGTTTGAACATCTTATGAGGACGACAGAGCTTGGATAATTGTTGGCAACTGCTTACCACGTGGCAGCGTCCCTGCTTCTCTGTAGTTCCTTATTCTTGAATCGTTTTCTGTCTCCGAGAGTAAATAGATAATTTGCGGCGCGGTATGAGTTGAAGTTGTTGCTATTATCAACGCAAAGGCAAAGAATCAGATGTTTAACATGTGTAATAAAGGTCGTTGAGACAACTTCTGAATTTCAGTATTCTTTATTAAGTTCTGTCACAGCTCTCCCTATACTCGTTCCTCTTGCTCTATGGCTCCTTCATGCTGTTGGCAGACAGCGTGAGAGGGAGAGAGAGGGAGAAGGAGAGCCTGCTTCTGGCCCGCCAAGTGGCAGGCTCAGGACCACGGCACCAGCGTGGCTTCGCCTTCATTCCTCCCAGCTCTGACCACGTGCTGTCCGTCTCCACCCCTTTTAATCCCTGGCCCACGTGGTGCCTCGCAGCCAATCCTCGGTCACCTCCCTGGAACCTCCTAGAGCCCATCCAGCCCCCAGGGCCACGCCCCTAACTCGCCTCCCCATTGATTGCGGCTGAAGCCAGCAGAGCCAATCATCCTCTTCCAGGTGGAACCTTTACATTACATCAGGGCCGCGCCCCTGGCTCGACTCCCCATTGGTTGTGGGCTGAGGCCGGCAGAGTCAATCATTATCATCCAGGTGTAACCAATTAATCATCCAGGTGTAACCCATTTATCATCCAGGTGTAACCTCACATTACACATGTATGCTTAAAATAGTCGCAAATAAAATGTCAGACCTAACTTTGGTTGTGAAGATTTTTCGTGAACTTTGCAGGTGAGCAGACACCATAACCATTGGCGCCGTTCAATGCTTGTGCACCTCATGACAATTGAAGTTGGTGGAGGGTTTTTCACAACACTGATTGAAATCTATTGGGGACCTTTTTTGCCAGTATCCAAAATGATGAAAAACAAGAATCGGTTTTAATCGTTCTGACGATAACGCTATAAGTGTTTTGATGCGTGCATTGTCTTAATACTCTTCGCCATTTCGCATTCTCTGGTCTAACACTGGTGCAGAGACAAGTTCATAAAGAAGTCTGTCTCTGGTGTAGGCCAATCAGTATCAAAGGCAATGCATGTAACATTATTATCAGAGCATGTTTGTTTTCATGTTCATACAAGTACTGTGTGTGGTTAATGCAGACTTGATGCCTTGCAAAAGGTTATCTCTTTGGTGCTGAAACATCTTAGCACAACTTTTTATTGTCAGAAAGGGTAAAGCATATTCTTATTTTTCATCAACAGATTGTGTGAGCTCATTAACGTGGCCTAACCCAGGAACCAAACACGAATCGTACAGTTACTTCTCATAGCGGTGTTCGCCGGGGAATTTGCTCATGCCAGAATAATGGTGCATTTGATTTGTAGTATCTGTTTTCTTAGTCTTTGATACCGGGGGAGTTCTGTAAGATCTGGTGGTTTCAAAGTAAAATGTTCGACTTTCTTTGATGCTTTTGAAGTGGAGAAGCACGTGCAGGGCGCAGCAGCAGGCCACGTCTTTGATTGGATAACCAAGCATGAGGCTTACTTCGATTATCGACGATTGCAACTCACTCTCGACGAGGAATCTGGCAAAAAGCATTAGCAAGCTGCAGCACGTACAAAATTAATTGGCCTGGTATCGTGACCGGGTACTGCAAGATCCGACCATGTCCGTCTGGTGCTCTACACACCGTACGTAGCCAACCGTGCTAATCGGAGGTATGCGGGGAGAACAACAAACTAAACACAAACATATTTCTAAAGGAATGTGTTAGTCAATCTAGATGATTTAAAAGTGCATAGCTCAAGTGGCTTCCTAAGCTCGGAAGGAACAGCGTTCCAGACGGTTGCAGAAGCGCATTTGAAAGCGCGCGATGCGGTGACCATCTTTGTTCGATGGTGAGCCAAAAGCGGTTGCTGCGAGGATGAGCTGAGTTAGCTTGACGATTCATGGTCCTTGAGATGAGCACGGTATTGTGGTTCATTTGTGGCAAGCACTTTGTGTGATGAGTGCGACCCGACGCTCATCTGTATCAACCCGCCGTGGAGTGAAAACTACGCGGTTCTCCGATGATTCGAGACAAGCAACACTGGACTAGTTTAGACATTCAGCATCTCATCAGCAGCAGAAGCAGGTTTTGTTTGAACCAATGCTTGTCAATTTCCAGATTTGTACAAGTAATGACCCTCTAAAAGATGCTTGTTAAATTCAGAATCATATGTTAGATAACATTTAAAATGTAACGATATTAAAGAACTAATACAGTAAAAGTAAACTTTTTTTTATTTGACCAGGTAATGCCCCACTGAGCTATAGAGCTCTTTTTCAGAAGTGAGCTGGCCACAAACGAAGTTGCTTATCATAATATAGAAATATATTGCAGCCAAATACTCGAAACGCACGTTTCTAAATGTGGAGGGGAAAATAAGAGGACCCGGCGAAAAATCCACACGACCAAGGAGAGAGATATGCAAACTCCAAATACACAAGCATCAGGATCGAGAACAAACCTTATGTATACCAGGCAAGGTAGTTAACATATCGCCACCGTGGCGCCCATATAGGCAAGTAAAGATAACATCTAATATGGGCAAATAAAGGTGAATTTCACTATAATATTTTAAATGTACATCAAATAGTATCTGTGCATGTAAGAACTGTTACCAGTCGCGAAACGAGCGTGGAAGCAGGGGGTGCCTTGCCCCCCACTCCCCGGTTGCCAAAGCTACGAATTGAGCACCTTTGATTACCACCATACTACGGATCTGTATTTGCTGCGTTTGCAACGACGAAGCGCCCCGACAGCGTTAAATTCTCAAGACCGTGAGCGGAATGATGCAATTAAGGCAAGAGGAGCCGCGATATATAATAGCCTGGGTGCGACTGTGTGAACCAAATCAAATATTGGGGCCCCATCTGACCGATTTCCGCACTCCCTGAGCTGATAGTGTCGTTACGGCACTCACTCTTCTTCTTTAGTGCTGCCTAACGGCGTGTGCGACTTCACGATGATATTGGTCCCGGTCTAGCACGGCGTGTAGAGTTTGTGCTGTTGTTAATTGTAGCCATGTTTTGATGTTACTGAGCCATGTCGTTTTTGGCCGTCCTGGTCGTTTTTTCCCTTCGATTTTTCCTTCCAGGATTTGCTTTAATAGCTGGTATTTGTGGTCGTTTCGGGCAATGTGGCCTAGGTAGTAACACTTCCTGCTAATGATGGTCTTCAGCAGTTGCCTGTCAGTGCCCATATCTTGCAGAACTTGTGTATTGGTGGTTTTGGCTGTCCATGGGATTTTCAGCATTCTTCGATACAGCCACATCTCGAAAGCTTCGAGCCTTTTTGTTGCTGTTGTTGTCAATGTCCACGTCTCTACTCCGTACAGCAAAATTGACCAGATGTAGCATTTCAGTGTGCGCAGTTTCAGTGATGTACTCAAGTTGCGGTCTGCAAGGAGTGTTTTCCATTTAATAAATGCTTGCCTTGCTTGTTCAATTCTGCTCTTGATTTCGACTTCATGGTTCAACTGATCGTCAATGATTACACCAAGGTATTTAAATCGGTGTACTTGTTCCAATTTTTCGCTGCCAAGCTTGATTGTTATTTTGCTTGTAGTTCGGCTGACCTTCATAACCTTTGTTTTCTTTTTATTAATTCGTAAGCCCCATATTTGACTCTCTGTGGCAACCTCGTCCAAGATTTGTTGTAGGTCTTGTTCCGAATCGGCCAGCAGTGCAGTGTCGTCGGCATACCTGATGTTGTTGATGTATTGTCCATTGACTTTAATACCAATGTTTTTATCTGCTAGTGTTCGATCAAAAATCTGCTCCGAGTAGATGTTGAAAAGACTGGGTGAAAGTGGGCAGCCTTGTCGTACACCTTTTTGTATTGGTGTTGGGTCTGTCAATTCGTTGTCATATCGGAGTTGGGCTGTTTGCTTCCAATAAAGAGCAATGATGAAGTTGATGTCGTTTTTATCTAGTCCCAGTTGTTTTAATAGAGCTGCTAGTCGATCGTGGTCGACTGAGTCAAAGGCTTTCTCGTAATCTATGAAGCAGATGTACACTTCTTTCTGATGTTCGTAGCATCGCTGTAGTAGTATCTGTAGACAGAAGATTGCTTCTCTTGTGCCTAGTCCTTTGCAGAAGCCAAACTGTGTGTTCTTCAATGCATTTTCGCATGTGGAGCGTATGCTCCACATGCGAAAATCACTGTTATGATTATTATCCAGCAGTAGATGGAACAAGGCTGCACACTTGGTATTGTTGTTGGTCATCACCGTGCGTGTTTATGGCTTGGGACTCTGTGAATCTGTAGCCGCTACCAACTCCCAGTGCAGAGGGGAAAGACGTTGCAGCTGGTTGACTGCGAGGTTTAGGAACTCCGTGTTGGCAGGGACCCCGTCTGGCACGGATTGCAGACGTTTATCCACACAGTCAACCACGAACCCAGGGCCCCAGCCGTAGTACTCGCCATGGTAGCAGCTGCAGATGCCACCAAGACCACACGAGGGGAGCCCGGCATGGGCTCCAACCCAGAGGCACGAGGTGGAGACACGAGAAGCACCATCGCCACCATCGCCATCTGGAGGCGATGGCTATGCCCCACGTAGTCTGTAATTCAGTACTGTTGGAGTGATCGAGGGTTGGTGTATCAGAATACAAATGTCATGATACTCCCTTCTGTTTCTTTCGTATGGAGTTCGGACAAGGTGACATGGCTGCCATTGCATCGTTAATGTTAGAAGCCATTCCACGGCATGTGGGGTAACTGAGTAGAGTCCGCTTGTTCCACCAGAATGCAGCGTGTTGTATTGGGGTAGCTAAGTGGAGTCAACTTGTTCCACCAGAGCACAGCGTATTGTATTGCGGGTAACTGAGTAGAGTCTGCTTGTTCCACATGAATACAGCGTGTTGTCTTGGGGTAGCTGAGTAGAGTCCTCTTGTTCCACCAGAATATAGCATGTTGTATTCGGATAGCCGAGTGGAGTCTACTTGTTCCACCAGAGCACAGCGTATTGTATTGCGGGTAACTGAGTAGAGTCTGCTTGTTCCACACGAATACAGCGTGTTGTTTGGGGTAGCTGAGTAGAGTCCACTCGCTCCACCACAGCACTCGTGTTGAGTCGGGCAGTTGCCAATGATGTTCCTGACAGTGTGGACCTCACCACAATCGCAGTTTGGT